GGAGAGAAACAAAGCAGAGGTGAGCCCGGAGCAGAGGCAGCGGGGCAAAAGCCCAGAGAGGGGAGCGAGGCAGCGCTTACGTCTCATGGGTGCCGAAGAAGAAGATGGGGTACTTGTTCGGTGGGGGTTTCACAGCACCGTCCGCGATGTCATCGATCTGAAAGGAAACCCAAAGCAGGAGGTGGTCAGAGAGAGCGGCTTGAGCATGTCCTCTGCGAGGCACGTCAGCCCCGGCTAGCAGCGTCGGCCTCTGGCACCCGCACCCGCTTGGAGGCAAGCATGGCAAGAAAGCACCCGGACGGGGACCTTGCTACACACAAGAGTCCCGCTGCGGCGTCAGGGCCCGGCGGGATCTCTAGAAGAGTAACAGAAGGGATCCGGCACGGATGCTCTACAGCTAGAGCTCGGCGCGAGGTCGTCTCTCCACCGCCGGGCTCAACGCCCGGGGAAACGCGGGCCTTGTGCTACTCCCCAGAGATCCATCGCACGAGCCGCCTCGGGTGGGGGGATGCCCCGAGGGAAGCCCCCTCCAGCCCGGGGTAGGGGGTGATTGCTCCAAGGGGGCGGCCTGAGGGTCCTTCCTGGCTGGAGACCGGCCGCAGGAAAAGCCCCGTTGCCAAGCGGGACGCGTGGGCCACCCCGTCTTCTTCCCGCACGCCGGCTCCAGCGCCCGTCTGTCCGCTGCACGTGGTCTGGGCTGCGGGGCAGAGCCGCAGGCGGGAGCCTCGGGGTGCGCAGGGGCTGCCCCGCGTGCCGGGGAGGTCTTCAGGGCAGGGGGAGAGCCTTCCCCAAAAAAGCAAGCAAGCTAAAGCAGGAGGGGCTGCAGACGCCGGCAGCGCGAGGGCTCTCCTGGAACGACCGAGTCCTCTCGGCACCAGGTCAGCCGTGACAGCGCGGGGACGGCATCCTAGATCTCACGGCGTGGTGCGGCCAAGCATCGTCGTCTCCGGCACCCTGAGCCTCCCCGATCCCACACGGTTTCCACCTGCCAGTCTCTTCCCATCGGACACCTTCAGCGGATGAACCTGCCTCGCCCTCAGCTGCCGCCGGGGCCCACCGCAGACCCCCCCCGCCTCGCCGCCTCGCGCTCCCCCCGTCAGCACATCCTACACCGGTCCCCGCTCTGCCCGCTCCTCCGGGCCTCCTCCAGGCCCCACCGCCGCACAACACCGTCACCCGGCTGGCGGGACCAGTCGTCCCCCACCACACACACTCCATCACCCCATCTGCGACCCCCTACCCCCCCAAACTGCACCAGCACCCTCCGATCCTGCACCTCGCGAGCACTCAGCAGCGGTTCCCCCCTTACACGTCACAGCCAGGCGCTGCCCCCAGTGTGTGTCCCGCCTGTCCCCAGACCCCAGCTCTGTCCCCCTCCCCAGTGGGGGACAGGGTGGGTGACATCCAGGCAGGAAGCTGGGAAGGAGAACAGGGGTCTCTGGAGGGGCAGGGCTCTGCTGGGCAGTGGGAGGATGAGGATGGAGGCTGAAGGGGGGCACTGTGAGGGGCACCCCCATAGGGTTGGGTTGCCTGGAGCACCAGGGGCCCAGGGTGCAGCAGGGGAGGGGGGTGGCAGGGGTCAACCCAGCAGAAGGACCCCAGGACAGGGGTCCCAGTAGGTGAAGCAGGGCAGAGGCCCCGAGCGGTCACCCCGAGGGGATCCGGGTCTCCCCTGGGTGCAGGGAGAGGCTCAGGGTGCCACTGGGGCAGGAAGGGGGGTCCTGGGTCCCCCTGGTCTCCCCCATCCCTTGCCAGGTACAGGCACCAGTGTGAGACCCCCCCCCCCCATTTCTGCCTCAGTGTGGGTTCCAGTCTGGGACCCCCAGCTTGGTCCTGGATCCCCTCCCAGTATAGGTGCCAGCATGGGACCCCAATTCCAGCCCTGAACCCCCTGTTCCAGTCTGGGTTTCTCCACCCCAGTACACGTGCCAACATGACACCCCCCTCCCAGGATCAAACCCCAGTTCCAGTACGGTTGCTGGCGCGAGACCCCATTCCAGTACCAGGAACCCATCCTGCTATGGGTGCCTGTATAGGATCTCTGTCCCAGTACTGAGCTCTCATCCCAGTACGGCTGACAACATGGGGTCCCCCATTCCGATACAGGACACCCCATTCCTGTACCAGGTCCCCATCCCAGTACGGGTGCTAGAACAGGACCTCCCGTCCCAGTAGGGGACACCCTGTCCTGACATCCATCCCATCCCAGGTGTCAGTGTGACAGCTCCCATCCCAGTACAGGATGTCCCAACCCAGTACAGGTGCTGCGACGGGACTCCATATCCCAGTACAGGTGCTGGGATGGGGCTCTCCATCCCAGTACGGTTGCTGGTATTGGTCCCTCATGCTGGTACCAGGTCCACATCCCAGGACAGATGCTGATATGGGGCCCCCATCCCAGTACGGGACGCGCCATGCCAGCACCGGGTCCTCATCCCGCTACGGGACCTCCCCCCTCCCAGTTTGGGACACTCTGTGCCAGCAGGAGGTCCCCGTCCCAGAATGGGTGCCATTACGGGATCCCCATCCCAGTATGGGTGCTGGTACAAGTCCCTCAAGCCGCTACCGGGCCCCCATCCCGGGACAGGTGCCCGGTCCCATGTCCGCCATCCCGGGACAGGACACCCCAACCCGGGTACCGTTATGGCATCACCATCCCGGTACGGGCCTCCCTCCCCAGGGCAGGAGCCGGTACGTGTCCCCATCCCGGGACCGGCCCCTCATCCCGGGACCGGCCCCTCATCCCGGGACCGGATCTCCGGCCTGGCCCGGCCGCCCCCCCCACCCCCACCCCTCGGTGCGTCCCGCCGCCGGCGCGGTCCCGCGGTCTCACCCGGGCCGGCCAGTGCGGGTAGCCCTTCATCTTGGCGAAGACGAGGTCTCCGGGCTTGAAGCTGTGCGGCATGGCGGCCGCGGGGCGGGGCGGCGGCGGAGGCCCAGGCCGCGGGCAGCACCGGGCAGCGGGGCGGGGACGGCCCGGCCCGCAGGATATCCCGCCCCCGCCCGCGGCGTCAGTTGGCTCCGGAGCCGCGTCGCTCTGCCGCCTCGCCCAATGGCAGCCAGGCGAGGGCACGGCGGGATAACGGGATTGGACCGCGCCGCCAGAGGCGCCGAGGAGGGGGGGCGCTGGGGGGCGTGTCCAGAGGGGGCGGGGGTGGGGGCGCAGGGCTATGGCGGGGGGGCCAGGGGCTGTGGGGTGATGGAAGGGCTGTAGGACAGGGCTATAGGGTGGGGGACTGTCGGCCAGGGGCTGTGGGTTATGAGCCAGTGCTATAGGGTGGGGGCTCTGAGGTGTGGGACATGGCTATAGGGAGGAGCCCGGGCCTACAGGGTGTGGGATAGGGCTATAGGGTGGGGGCTCTGGGATATAGGACAGGGCTATAGGGTATGGGATAGGGTTATAGGGTGGGGGGCTGTGGGTTATGAGCCAGTGCTATAGGGTGGGGGCTCTGGGGTGTGGGACATGGCTATAGGGTGTGGGGTGCGGACCAGGGGCTGTGGGGTGGGGCCAGGGCTATAGGGTGGGGACTGTGAGGTATAGGACAGGGCTATAGGGCGGGGCCCGGGGCTATAGGGTGTGGGTGAGGGCTGTGAGGTGTGGGACAGGGTGGGGGCCAGGGCCTGGGCTGAGCAGCTGGGTCAGCGGCTGTAGGGACAGGCCAGGCCAGGGGACTTTTGTGGGGGTGGGTGCCCCCGAGGGTGAGCTCCCACCCTGCCCTGTCCACTGCCACCCCCTTGGCCCCAGCCTGGGGACACAGCTCCCTCACCAAAACCCTGCCAGAGTCAGCTGGTGCCACCAACCCCACAGCCGGGGGTCCCTCCCCTGGGGCCGAGGGGTCCCCGTGGTGGTTTGGGGGGGTGAGAAGCATCCCCAGGACACGGAGAGGGGAGACCCGCCTGGGGCAAAGCCCAGGCGACAGAGTCAGACCTGCATCACCTACCTTTTAACACTTGAACTCAAGAAGCAAAATGGTCTAAGGAGGCTGCCTGGAAGCTGCATTGATTTTTAAACCTGGTTATAAACCCAATCCAGTTTCTCCACGAGGTTGTGGAAACGCGAACGTTTGTCTGTCCGCACCTGGGTCCGATTTGGTGGCAGCCAGAACTCCCAGTGCCCGGCCAGAGCCAGGCGGCTACAAACCACAAAGCCACGCTCAGGGGGAAAAATTATTTACAGGGTGATTGTGGCCCCCCGGGGGAGGTGAGTGGGGGGAAAAACTCGATGATGTTAAAGGGATTTTCTGATCTGAATGATTCTATGAAGCGTGGGCAGAGTCCGGTGTGCCGGCTGGTGATGCAGAGGAGGGTCTGGCCTTCGTTCGTGCGGTTCTGGCTCTCGGCGTCCAGGTGTTGGTCCCTGCGGTGATGCCGGGCTGGCGGCCATCGGTGCCGGGGTGCTGATCCCACCGCCGCTGCGGACACCCCGGCTCCGTTCAGGATGGGGGTCCGTGTTCATCCCGAAAGCGGGGAGGAAGCTGCCTCTTCTTCGGTCGTACCTGGTCCATGTCTCCACGAGGAGGAGGATGGGGGGTTGGACCGTGGAAATAACCCCCGCGAAAGCACCTGACTTGCAGGGGTGTGTGTTTGCTCCTGAGGTTTGAGCCCCTCAGAGGGGGGATCTCAAATCTGCTTTGCATGATGGCGGGAAGTGAGGGCCCTGCTGGTTCCGGGGGGGCTGGCGGGTGAAGGGGGGGGACCTGGCTGTGGGCTCAGAGAACAGAAAAATCTCGTATTTTGGGGGTTCCTTCAGGTTGCACCTTGGAGACAGGTGAGGTTTTCTCCGGCGCTGCAGAGGGCCCAGTTCAGGCTGGGGCTGATGGTTCTCCTCGGGAGGGCTGTGGGTACAGGTCTAGGGGAGCGTGGGGTCCGTGGGTGCCGGCCTGGGGGGGGTTGTGCTGCTCCACAACCCCTCCCCTCCCTCCTCCCCCCCCCCCAATTTCTCAGCCCTGGAGGACCGCCGAGGTCATAGAGCGGCGGGAGCCTAGAGCGGCGCGAGGGCCAGGGTGACGGACACGCCCCTTCCGGTGGCAGGGACGCGGGCGGGGCGGAAGCGCGGAGCTGCCGGTGCCGGTATCGGTGCTGGTGCCGCCGCCGCCATGCGCAAGTTCTTCCAGGAGATCAAAGCCGACCTGAAGTTCAAGAGCGCAGGGCCCGGACAGAAGCTCTCGGAGCCGTCCCGGTACGGGGTTGTGGGGATCTCCGGTAACGGCGGCCCGGCGCCGCGGGATGGGGGATCCACGGGCCCCGGTGCAACCCGGTACCGGGGGGGGGGGGCTGCCTGGGGACACCAGGCTGGGCCCGAGCCGCCCATCCCGCCAGGAGCCGACACTCACCGGGAAAACGACACTGCCGCCCCGGGAGCGGCCGGTTCCCTGGCTCCGTCACCGGGGCCGGTCGCTGCCGTTCCACGTCGGTGGCCACGGCCGGGCCGCTGCAGGTCACGCAGCCCACCTCCCCCCGCCCTGAGCTCTGCTGCTCCGTCCTGCCCAGGGTCCCCAAGGAGAAACCGAAAACCGAAGCGGCGCAGAAGCCTCGTCAGGGCCCCACGGACGAAGCGCAGATGGCGGCGGCCGCGGCGCTGGCCCGGCTGGAGCTGAAGCCCAAGGCCAAGGCGCTTTCCTCCCAGGACGCCATCAAGAACCAGGGTAGGAGCTCGCTGCAGGACGTGGAGCTGGCTGGGACGGTTGTGGCTCCAAGCCCAGCCCGAGGGAGGGAGATCCCAGGCAGGCAAGCGCTTGGGTGCAGCTCTTGGGGATGTTTTGGGGCGCAGCTGGCGTCCGCAGATGCTTGGGCGGCACAGAAACAGCAGGCACACACTCACCCGTGGGCTCTCAGGTTGGGGACAGAGCACCTGGGCAGGTGTTTGCTCCCCCAGGGTGCTGCCGCGCGGTCCAAAGCTCTGTGAAACCTGCTGGCCCTCTGCCCCAGCTGCCGCTGTAACCTGGGTTTGTCTCTCCTAGTGAGAAAAGAGCTGATGGCTGAGGCAGCTGCAAGTGAGAAAGGTCTCTCTGCGGAGGAAGAGGTACGAGAGAGGCTGCTGGGCCCTGATCAGCACCCTGCTGTGCTGCTGTCCCTGTCCCGGGGAGATGCACCAGGGTATTCAGAAACAAACAAACAAAAAAAGCCCCAAAACCTTCCTGCGTTCAGTTTGGGGCCTGATTTTTCTCTCCTTTAGGACTTCGCCTCCCCAGACAAGGAAGGGGCAGCTGCCCCCTCTGTGTCAGGGGTCTATTTCATTTGCCCGTTGACTGGTGCCGTTGTAAGGAAAGACAAGAAGGAAAAGCACCTCAGAGAAGCCATCCAGGCGGTGAGTGCCCCGGCTGCACGGCTTCTCTTCCTCCTGTTTTCACTCATTTTGTGGCATGGGTCCCCTTGAGCAGCAACTTCTCCCTGTAAAAATCTCCACTGTTTCCCAAAGGGTAACTCTGTTCTGCTGTAGCCGTACCAATGTCTGTCCGAGCACCCTCCCTTCAGCTGGCTGGAAACGCTGGGACTGGAAACTCTGGCCCTGTACTGGTTTTGGCTGGAACAGAGTTAATTTTCTTCATAGCAGCTCAGATGGTGCTGCATTTTGGATTTGTGATGAAAAGTGTTGAATACACACTGGAAACAGCTAAACTGGGAAGTAGTGAATAAATCCCTTTGCTTTGCTTGCATGCACAGCTTTTGCTTTACCTATTAAGCCCAACCCAAGGGGATTTTTTTTTCCCCACTATGACCCTTCCAATTCTCTCCCCCATCCCACTGCGGGGGGGAACAAACACAGTGCTAAGTGGCTGGTCGGGGTTAAACCCCAACAGCCCCACACCTCCCTCTGTGCAGAGTAGCGTCAGCTCCCCCTGACCAGCTTCTCCTTTTCCCCCAGTATTTCTCCGTAGACCCAGTGGCTGCCTCGATCATGGAGATTCACACCTTCAATAAGGACCGGGAGAAAGTACGAGCGGGCGTGGAGACCATGGCCAAGTAAGTGGGCTGGGGGTAGCAGGACTGGGCACGCCGGTAGCTTGTGCCTTCACTTCAAGGCCAACAGGCAGATGTGCTCCAGGCAAAGTCTGAAGAAAGACCAAAGCTGAACACGTGAACTGTCTTAAGTGTTAGTTGAAATAAGGTCAGCATCTCAGAGATGGTTTAAGAGTTAAGTCACTAATCCAAGAAGTTTGGGAGCTGCTGGGAGATCTGTCTAGCATAGACATAAAACACTGATGTATTTTACTTTCCTCAGTTTTTCAGTGCTTTTATCTGAGAAATACTGTGAGGTGTCTCAGTCTCTTCTTACACCTTGGGGTAGCATGTCCTGACGTGCCTAATTTGATCCATGCAGTGCATTCCTCTTTCTGCAGATACTTGGATAATATCTATCTCCATCCAGAGGAGGAGAAGTACCGGAAAATCAAACTGCAGAACAGAGTGTTTCAGGTGAGATGAAGACTCCTGCAGGTGCTCTGCCTGGGAGAGTCCTTGCCTGGAACAGACTACGTCTAAATTCTTTCCTTTTCTTCCAGGAAAGGATAAGCTGCCTGGAAGGGATACACAGATTTTTCCAGGCTATCGGGTTTGAGACAAAAATACTGCCTGTTCCAGGACAAGGCAAGAAATCTAAGTGTATTAAACTGAAGTCAGGAGGTTGAGTGGTGGTGGGACATGCCAGGGGAGGCTAGTGAGGCAGCTTGGTTTGCCAAGAGCTCCCCAGGCTCTGACAAAGGCTGTTGCTCCAAGGCTGTACCACAAACAGCTGCTCACCCTGCAGTTTTCCTGTTAAGATGTTACATTTTCTGGAGATCCTTGCCCTTATTTCGTACATTACTCATGTAAAGAACAAGAGATTCAAATCCTGTCCTTTTGATTGTAGAGACCACAGAGGAGTACTATGTACTGAAGGAAGAAATGCTGACCAAGTTGGAAGACCTCAAGGACTACAAAGAACAGCTTTTAAACTCCGAGCCCATGAGAGCCCAGCTGGATCGCCAGCTCTGTCTGTTTAAACCATCCCCCGAAGCTGCCCGCTTTGAGCTGCCAAATGACTTTTACAACCTCACTGTAGAAGAGATCAAACGAGAGCAACGGCTCCGGTGAGTGGGCTTAGGAGGAGGGCCCTGACTGCCCCGGGGGCACACGATGCCAGCTAGGAGTCTTGGACCTCTCCTTCATGCTAAAAATGACTTTCTTTCTAAAGGACAGAAGCGGTGGAGAAAGCTTCGATGCTGAGGACAAGAGCCATGCGAGAGAAAGAAGAACAAAGGGAAATGCGGAAGTACAACTACACCCTGCTGCGAGTCCGGTTTCCCGACGGATATATACTCCAAGGTAGAAGACTTTTGCCTTTTCTTTGTGTGCCCCCAAAAGCTTCTGAGAACGCTTCTAGCGCAAGAGCTTGAATAAGAAGCAGGCTTGAGGTGTGCTGAACCCAGCTGGTAGAATAAAGCAACAAAAAACAGAGCGGGGTGATGTTTCTGTAAGAACTCTTCCCATCTCGGAGGCTTCCACCTGCCTCGTCTGCACAGGGTTGGGACTGTAAGCCAGGGTTGAGTGGAGAGGGAAGAATCTCAAGGCGCTGTTAATTAAAGTGTGCTCTTCCCAGGCTACTGCGAGCAAGCTGGACTCATTAGATCAGTTTGTTATAGTAACCAGCATGAGGTTGCCTGTGTGGTGTCAGGCTATACAACAGTATAAATCCTCTTCAAATTTTGTAGTAGAACTCTAGAAATCATTTCAGGCTTTCCCAACTCTTTGTTACAGGCTGGCAGGGGCTTGCAACAATTGTAGTAATACTTTTTTCTTCGGGGATTCTGCTTTTATACTTCTCGGTTGAATCAGGCTGTTTCTGTGTCACTGAAGTAGTTCATAAAGTTAGCATCAGTACATGAACTCCACGAAACCTACCACAAAAGATTAGATTTGGTAAATGCCAGACTCTCTTTCAATATCTCACCTTGTTTTCTCATGGCAGGGACTTTTTATGCACGAGAATCAGTATCCGTGCTCTACAACTTTGTGAGAGAAGCACTCCGAGATGACTGGCTGCCCTTTGAGCTGTTGGGACCTGGAGGTCTCAAACTGACTGATGAGAACTTGGCCTTCAATGAATGTGGGCTGGTGAGTGAAAAAGATAGCTGATACCTTCCGCAGGGGTCTTCAGGCTGTCAGAGTCATCTGCTGCTCCTAACTTAGAGAAGTTGGTGTTTTCTGCTCTCAGTGCTGTGAGTTGTGCTCTGGCTCCTTTTTAAGCTTAAAGTAGTAGCTGCTTGAAAGCTCAAGGCTAGCTAGGAGATCTGTCTGGAACAAACTACGAGGACCTACTTCCTTTAGCAAATGCAAGAGCTGCTGACAACTACTGCAGCCAGCACAGGCTTAGCATCCACGCTGGGAAAAGAGGGAAGGCAGCAACTGAGGCAAGCGCAGCTCTAGCACAAGGCTTCCAAGAGAAAACCCAAAGCAGTGTCCCCTAGGGAGCTTCTTGCAGAAATCCACACTTGTCCTTTTTAGTTGAAGTTCTTCCAGGTCTGTGAACGTACACAGCATGTTAGGAGGTCAAAGTATAACATGGCTATAACTTTGCCTTTTCTGCTCCAGGTGCCCTCAGCCCTCCTGACTCTTGCCTGGGATGCAGAAGTCATGGCAGACATTCAGGTGTCAGGAGAGCCAGCAAGCCCTCTGAAACCAGAACTTCTCTCAAGAGTCCAGACACTGTCATGAAATAAAGGGGAGTGGATTCAGTGCTGGTGGTTTTAGACTGTTCCCTCATTTCCCCATACAGACTGTTGGAGCTTCCAGTTACGTGACCTCAGAAATGACTTTGTTTTAGCTCTACAGCGTGGAAGGCTAGATTCTGCCATGTCAAACCAACCCTGCAGTCACCTCCACCATTCCAGTAGCCACACACTAAGACAGTCCTGCCCAGTGAGACACTTACAGGACTGCTCTGAAGGGCTTTAAAAACCAAGTTCTAGAAGTGACTGCTCGAGGTATTTCCAAGACTATGATGAAGCCTTTGAAGGAGGGATGAGGTGCTGGTACTAGGCTGGATTATCAATCAACTGAGCCTGGATATCAGGCTGGGCTTAAAACTCAGCTTTTCCTTTTGCTTCTGTGTGCACTGTAACTCCTATTGGAGAGAATATATTTAGATAAAATTATGCTTAGTCTGATTAAATGGAATATTTAAAGACTTAGTTCTGTTCAGTATTATTTGAATTGCATTGCCTTTAGGGGTTTGAAATGCCGACGAGCTCCAGTCAGTGCTGGGGCTGGCACTGGTGTTACTGGTGCAGCTGTGGCATAACCCACCTTTTCACTTCAGGGCACCCACAGACAGACCAGGAGACTGACAACAGGCAACAGCTATTTACACTGCCCACTGATGAGAGATTAAGCTTCAAACTACAGCAAGTAGTTTAGGAAACTAATCCATCAACTCACAAGCCATAAAAGCCCCAGAAAGTTTGCTACATACACAAGTTTGATGCTAGTTCAGTCCTTTATACTTCAGCCTTAAACGTTTTTTCTGTGGGGTAGAGACCAGCTTTTTCTGTATACAGCTTCTAGTGCAACACTGTGTACAGAAGACTGATGATTACCCTGATACATAATTAATACTGCCCTATCCCAAAACAGGTGAAACACGGTGCATTTTCCTTTTTCTTTTCCAAAAGTAAAGCCCTGCTGCTGTTATCTGTAGCAAGTAAGACCACAAACAGGATGGTATAGGTAGCATAAATTCAAATATAATTGTACAACTTTTATGCCCAAGGCCATGCTATACAACATTATGAACAGAGTAATTCCCCCAGTGGCATCACAATAAGATTATTTCAAAATTCATCTACTAGTTTTAGAGATAATTTAGATACCTTCCATTACAAAGAAGTATCAAAATTTCAATAATGCTTTATTAAGGACAGATTAATATGCAGTATTTTTTAAGCTAAAATCTAGAACTAAAAATTTAAGCTTCCATCTGGTCTGAAGCAGAACAAAGTGCTGTCTTCTCTTTACAAGAAATATGGAATACTTTCAAGTATCTTGTTCAAAGATACACAATGCTTAAAATTTTCTAACTCATTCTACATACATACAGAGAAGTTAGTAGGCATTTAAGTCTCAAACTGTATTAGATGGGCTGACCATGCTGGTGCCCTGGTGAGTGGCTCTTGTGCCACTGGATTCTGAAGTTGTTTCAGTAACTGCTGATGTAGAATCTGCAAAAAAGAAAATGTGTTGGGTTTCGTTTGTTGTTTTTGGTTTTGGGTTTTTTTTTTAAATATCCTCACTAATGTAGTAGAATTTGACTACTATATGCTGCATCTGTCTTAGTTTGTCTGCCCCCATCTGTTGCAAGTCTCCTTTTCTATACTATTTAAAAACTGGTTTTAATATTGAGTTAGCATCAATCCAGAATAAAAATAATTTCAACCATAAAAAAGGATCTTCATAATCTTTTCAGTGCGTTAGACTCAGGCAGAGTTAAACAAACAGCTGCATGCATGTCAACAAAGCCTGAGGAAGGCAAGCTCCTGAATAGCATCCCTGTTCTCAGAACAAGAGGTTACCAACCTGAAGCAAGGCTTTCATCTCACTCCAGTCTTGTAATAAGCAAAAGCAGCTTAAGATTAAATGCAAAGCTTCTTGTCAAACAGCTATATTGTCTGTTATGGAACGCGAGAGGAGGAATGTAGCACCAGCTGAGATAGAAAGGAGAACACAGATATGTCTAGAACAGGTCAACTACTCTATAGAATTTAAGGCTTTGGGAATATGCACAAGCCCTTATCTATCAGAGGAGCTGCCAAACACAAAAAACCCACTTTCCTTAATTCAGGTTGTGCCAGTAGCATTGTGAAAGAGCTCTATTGTGAGAGTGGTAAGAAAGGGCTCGGAGGTTTTGAAAGCGGTTTAGAGGAGCTGAATGCACATCATGTGGTTGGTGTTAAGTCATTGATCTGTATGATCAAGTATGTATAGTTAAAACCTCACTGAGATGAAAGGGGTCGCTCCACATCCTCATCCACTGTTTCTGAATCCACAGCCTGAAAGGATACACTATGGTGGTGGAGCTTTGAAAGCCATTTTCCAAGGGATAACTGGGACACAAATATAAGCAACTGCTTAGATTCTAGAGCAAAGCGTTGACCAGAGCCCTCGCCTGTCAGACATGAGAGCTTGGTTGTTATCTGATGTTACGTCCTTCAGACAATTCAGTGTGCACTTAAGACTTCAAAAAGTCCGCAGAGGGGAAGCTATGCTCCAGACCTCGTCAGTCCTGGAAGGGCTCTGAACATAAGCACGCACACCCCAGAGACAGCCCTGCTCAGCAACATTTACCAAGTTAGTGGATCTGCTGATACTGACCCCAGTGTTCACCTTTCTTACTAGAAAAAAATAGAAAAGGTAAAACTGGCAGCCACGTGCTAGTCAAAAGCACTTTGTGCTATTTAGTCAGCTGAAGGAAGGAGGGAAGAAAGGGCAAGAGCAGGTTAGATAAGACTTCAAATAGCAAAGAAACGTCTAGAATAAAACGTAAAAAGCAGAGAAGTACTTAGAATAAAACACCTACAGGGAAGAGCACAAGGCTTGGTGAAAAAGCGGCAGAAAAACCGCAGCAGGTTTGGCCACACACCGTTCCTGCTCTGTCGTACCCTCCCCTGTGGGAGCGAGTGTCTGCCAAGAGACTGCTATCGGCTTACTTTCCCACCTTTGCATGGCTGTACATTCACAATCATGCAGTCATCATCTTCCTCATCTTCCTCGGTGTCTGCCTGAAATCCATCCATCTCCGCAGCTTCAGCCTTAAGGAAAAAAAGGTTCCAGCTGCCTATCAGCAAGCTGATGGTGCTAATGTGCGAGATGAGGCACAGCCAGTGCTGTGAAGGACTACACTGAGCACTCCTCACAATTAGCACTTGCAGCACAGTCTGATCAGTTGGGCATATTTGTAGGGAAGAAAAATAAGCAACCCCTGGCTTCAGACACTGATTTTTGATAAAAGGCCTCGTCTGCAATGGCACATACAGCAGGAAGCACGCCAAGCTCCTGCTCCAAGATGTTTCACTATTACACAATGCAATGAACAGCCTACACATCAAAAAGTCAGTTCAAACCTTAATTGAAATCTGACTCAGTTTTGTTGTTTTTTTGGAAGGGAAACCTCTCCCCCCTCTCTTGATTATTTTGGATGTTTTCTTCCTTCTGAACATGGAAAATTACTTTTGCTTGTCAAGTTTGAAGCATGTTTTCCCCTCCCCCGACTCCTCCTCCTCTTTGCCAATTAGCTTTTATTCAGGGAGGGGTGACAGTTCTTCCCTTGGTGACCCCATTTTCTGCCATGCAAGCAGCACAAACAACTCATTTTGAATTGAGAAAATGAATATAAGAAGTGACGCAAACTGAAGTTGGCCAGCACTGGACAGCTGCGAGTGTTTTTTGGGTCTTTTTCCCCCTCAACTGAAACTGCGGAAAGAAAAATCGCAGACCTGGAACCTGGTACCTACCTCTCGAAACAGCGTGTAGGTGAAGAAATTTTCAACTTGCATCTTTCATTAAAGTCACAGTTCTCAGATTAAGTATTCCCCTCCTACACGTGTGCTGGTACTGCCCACTTCAATACCGAGTTTTTCCTCTCTCTGCAGCTTAGGTAAGAGCACCTTTACTTACACGAGTCCTGGCACGAGCTGCGTGGCAGAGTAACACGTGCCAGGGGTAGAGAACCTGGCAGCCTCGACCTGCCAATCCTTCCCAGGCTCTCCCCAAGCTCCAGCCTTGCTCAACAGGAAGGAGGGGATCTCAATACCTGAGCAGCGCTGACTTAGACATCAGGCACGAGAGGCTTTTGGGACACCTTTGCTCCGTGCTGCATGGCACAGCACCTCACAAGGTCAGCTTTAAGATGCTTTCGAGAGCTTTGAAGAATTCAGGCTGGTGATGTAATTCTACTAAAAGCCTTTGTTTTGCTATTTCTGCTCAAGTAGTCAGTTACAAGCAGAATTTCCAGTGGGTGCCAAGCAGAGATATTTTATCTCTGCCTTTATTTAGTGTATAAGAAAAAACCCAAGCAGATGGAGTTTGGGGGCTGAACAGCTTCTCACAAGTCTTTGATACCTATCAGTACTTGAATGCAGAGCTTTCTCAGTAGAAAAGCCAAAGAAGCCAAGAATAACGTGGGAAGGAAAAGCACAAAAAGTCTTTTCTGTGGCTTCTTTCCTCGTCCACGGTGGATGAGGAATAAATCCAGTCAGCGCAAACCCTGTCCTACCTGTAGGTTTGTAAGCAAACAGTTGCTAACACCAAGCTTCAGGACCTAAAGCCTTACTGTCTTAAATGTACAACAGAGCGTCACATGGCTGAAGTACTGATCACATACTTTTTAGTCATCCTTTTGCATGACTAAGCCCTTAGTACTACCTGTGGTTACCCTGAAAAGCAGAAGCAAACAATGGGAAGACCACAACAAAGCTCTGAGCTGGAGTAGCAACTACTCCAAATCCATCTCATTTTGTTCCTATGAATTATTGTATTTTTTAAACCAGCTCTTGAAAATCAGCTTTACGTATGACAGTATAAGCTGGAGACTTTACAGACTACTACGGGTTGAGTTGCAGCACTTAGGATCCACAGTACACATGCTACTGCTGTAAGCCACCAGCTCGGGCTATACATCTTGCAGCCATACACACACATAAAAACCTGCATACAAATTATATACAGCTGTAAAACCAAGGCCAAGCAGACACTCGGAAACTATTCACAGCTTGGATGCAATCACTGCCAAATAGCAGAAAATGGAAGAACAGCAGGAAAGCAACATTTCAAATGGAACAGACAGTCCAAGCTGGAGAGACACAAAAGAAACTCATCTCTTTAGATTCACGTAATTTCATTCCTTTCCCCACAAAAAGGGTCTTTCTGTCTGAAGAACAGTGTCTGTAGCTTAGTACTTTGACTCTGCTCATCTAGGCCAATCTGGGAGGCATGCCAGGACGCTCGCCCACTGACGACGCAGGGCTACATTCCCATCATTCTTTACTGGGGAAGAGGACTGCGACAGAACTCACCTGTTCAGCATCCCGAGGCCTTTTCATGAATTTAGTGATGGACATGCTTCCAGCAGACTTCCTCTTTACCGACACGGAGGTGGTCTGCAGGGCCGCCACACCAGGCATGCTGCCACCCT